ATATTTAAATTATAATTTCATAAGTAACTTGATTGTTTGACAAGATTCATTCTGAATATAATTAGCTAACATGTATTCAACCTCGCTCATGATTCATATTAATCAAATTAATTTCTTGGTCTACGAACAACGAATAATAGAAGTATTTATTGTTGCTCAATGTGAGTATAAAATATTAGCTAGTCGTTCTCGTTTACAAAGTAACTTGATATTAATTCTACAGCTCCATGCTGCCAATTTTTAGCGAAGGATCATGTGTTGAACAGTTCTATCAGATACCGAAAATCATTCCATCATACGCAAAGCAAGCAAACCAGATGACACTGTAATTTTGAGACGATTCATGGCATAACTCTGTATGAACTAGGATGATCTCAACCGATATCCAAAAATCCGCGTGAAAGAGCCTAAACCTAATGAAATCAGCGCTGGCTTTCAAATCGACAAGAGCAGATACTACGTTTAGATCTTCGCTGAAAAAGCCGAGCAGCAATAGCTATTTTTTTGTTTTGCTATAAGAAATCTTCATAATGATATTGTCATTTCGCATTTAAAGAAGGTAACAATGAAAATAAAATTAACAATAACACGAGATGATTTTATAATAGTGAATGTAGCCATTTGGTATCATGCAGATCACTATTCAAAAAAATTGATTTATCTCAATCATTGTTCAACTATCTTACATCGAACAAAATTTATCTCTAGAGTTTTTATAAAAATGGTGAGAACTTTGAGATAGTAATCTGAATTACACCAGTTAGGGTGATTCGAATCATTCCAACTGGAAAGAACTTTGAAAACCTCTAGTATTTCTCGAGTAGATTTTCAAGTATTGTTCCTCAGACAAGAAAATGTTCGTCTCATTTTGCTCTATCTTCTCATGTGAAACGAGGCAAACATGAACTAATTTGGCCGATTATCAACCGAAATTATGAAACATAAACAAAAAAGAACATGTTTTTTTCGAGTCATCCTTCCTATCTTTGGATGAATATTTCATTTTTATGAAAAGTCTCATGAAACAAAAATAACTCGATGAAAAATAAACTACTCTCTCTTGATAAAAAAAAAAGAATTTGAAACCATCTATCAATTCTCTGAAAATAGAAAATTCTGTTGTGTGGTTGAGAATAAAAATACCAATCGTATAATCATTAATTTATGTAGTTCTATAGTATATGTCTCTCTTTCATTAGTACGTAGATTAACGGCACATACATTGTTTAATGAATTTGGCTTTGACTATCACAATGAAACATATAATAATTCTGACTCATATATTCATTATGTTATACGTATTTCTTACATCTTCTCCACAGAAAAGGATACTTGATCTTATGTGGGACACATTTCTCGATGTCCAAACACTTACGATCAACATGTACTTTTTTTTTACACAAAATGAGTTGAATCGATTAGTTTGATGTAAATATAGTTTTATAATAATTGAACATTACAATATACGAGTAGATTATTTTGTTTATGATATACTTATAGTATATTTCTCATAGAAAATGAATATTCTGAAACAAGTCAAAACAATTTCAATTCAACATTATACTGACAATCTTTATTATGATGGTATTAAGAATGCTATAGATTTTTTTATTTCACAATAAAGCATGTCCTTCAGACCATTTTTCACGGCGATATTTCTTTTGTTTTTCTGACTTTGTTACGTCTAACTATACCATCATTCGAGATCATGAATATTTGACATATGGAAATCTTGGTTTATTAAATTCATATAGAATTATTCTATAAATAGTTATTTAAAATGAAAAGTATTACCGATAAATTTTATATGTCAGAAGAAACTAGTGCTAATTATTTTCAGTTTTTTTTCTTTGTTATTACATAATTGAATTATCGTCTAAGATAATATTTATAGAAATATCATGACATTTTTCAATCTCTATAAGAGATGGTTCTATTTTATTTTCAAGTTTGATTGAAAATTGTTCAAAGTTCTCTGCATACTGTTTTCTATTTCTTTTATTAAAATCATCATAATTGGTACACTCGAATGATGATAACATACAATACAATAGTCATTCACGCTCCGGTGTCTTTTTTGTTTTTACAAAAAGAATTTCTTTTCCTAACTCATTTCCCTATTATGAATGAATGCTTCATTTTTAGGAGAAAGATAAAGTTTTTATTTTTGTCTTTGCTCATAAAACTTTTCGAAATCTCAAGAATATAAAACATCCTTGAAATATCGATGACAAATGAAAGAAATTTTAAAGAAATGTTTTTTTCTTCAAAAAATACCTTTTTTATCATTTCTATGATAGTTGTTGTTTTAATTTATTTTTCTATCTTCTCATGTTATAGCATTTCATTTTTCCAAATATCTTCTACAAAATGAAACTGATTGATTGATGAAATCCAAGCAAAGCGAAAAACAAAAAAAAATTGACGTTTCTCTATAAGTGAGGGTAGTCGAACAAGTATTTATTTATTGATAAATCCAAAATATAATGACTTCGTAATATAAAATGTTCTTGTCTCAAAAATGAATTTTTAGAGTTAGTAGTTTTTTTTCCACTCTGCCTTATATACTTTCTTTTGATTGATAAAATGAAACGTAAAATTGTATGAGTAGCTTAACCTTGTTTTTCTTTTTAAATTTCAAAAGAAAGAGAAAATGTAATCAGACAATTTTATAATTTATTAGATGATGCCTATAGAAAGTAATTATCAATTATTGCCTTTCTTCTCTGTTTTATAAAAGATTTAAACATTTCTTAGTTTCACGTACTGTGTGAAATTGCTATGAAACTTAATAATGATAAGTTTTCGAGTCAAAAATTGATCACTGAATCAAAAAATAGTTTTTCATATGCTTCATCTTTATATAAGGACTCAAGACAAGTTAATTCATCAACTCGAGTTGATTTTAATGAAGACTTCTCGTTTGATTACAAAAATTGAATTTTCTTGGTCATATGTATCAATTATGAGTAGACAATAAATGTAATAAAGGAGTAACTAGCATTCACTTATTATGAAGGATAACTGTATAAAATAAATCTTTTCGATAAGCACGTTCTGTAAATATCACAACAAACTATCAATGACCTGTATTACTGATTTTTATATATGTATTCAATTGCATTCACAAATTCAGAGAAATAGTGATGAATATAAAACTCATCAATATTGGATTTAATCATTTCGTGATTGTGGATATATAAAAAACAAAACGAATGTTGAGGCACATGCACCAGTACTCATGAATTCCCCTCAAAATATACAGCTGATTATACAGTATATATTATCGTTTTTTTTGTTTTCCAGATATATCTATAGAAAAAAAACATTATTCATTTTCCACATTATGAATAGAAAACAGTGATACAAAAACAATACTATTTCTAGATTTTGGCAATAGTCTTTTATATTAAACTACATCAGATAAAATGTTAGTAGAAAGAATGAATTGAGTTTAGATTTTATAAGCACTATCATTTTTACACATTCCACTTTCTTTTGAACGTAATGTAATGTGTAAAGACAAGAGGAATGTCGTGTTCTTACTTCATTTATGAAAATTTTTTCTTGCCACCTGAACAATGTATCGCTTGTCACAAGGCGCAAGTGAAATTGATTATTTGATCATATCAATTGAATCATGAAAATTGAGAAATATAAGAAAAAACAGAATTGTTTTGTTCATTGAAAATTCCAAAAACTAAATGCTTTTATTGATCAAATCTATTCAGTTTGTTTAAATATTCATGAGTATTGATCAATGAAATAGATAATTGTTTCTAGTTACTGAAAAAAATCACTGTCTATGAAATTATATCATATGCTTAGAATTAAATGAAGTATATTCTGTGTTTTTATAGATTGCAACTTCATAGACGATAAAAACAAATCTAAGTAAAAAATACACTTGTCAATGTAATGATTTCATGATAGTAATAGACCATTGTAGGTGTATTCGTGTATTTCATATGATTTTTTTCTCTCTTACAGAAATTATTCAACAGATAAAAGAACTTCCTTTTGCTTTCATAGTACTTAGTTTATTCAAATCTTTCGTCAAATTATTATCGGTATATCCTTTGTTTCGATTAGATGGGGATGTTATGAAGTTTCATAAAAAAGAAAACATACTCAACAACTTATTTGTGTATTTTTCTCGTTAAGTTTTGATGTTTTTGAAAATAATAGATGCCTTTTTGGAGATATATCCGTTGTCCATAATTTTATAAAGACAATTAGAAAAATTATTAATTAAATAGGTATATACATAGCTAGACTAGAATATTTATTATTAGATTTATCTTAATTTCCGTAATTGATATGACAAAGAATAAATTGAAGGGTCTTCATTACTTAATATAGTCATAAAAAACTATTCAATTCTCCCATCAATATAGACATTGTTCAATTGGTATTTTTTTGCCGATTTCGTTATGCAATGAACTGATGTAGTTATCGAGTGTTTGTAAAAGGGATACTTTTATTGCGATATTTATTTTGTTTTTCTTTCCAAAAAAAGTGAACAAACGTGAGTAAATAATAGAGGAGAAAATGTACAAGCAAGACATTTCATTTGAAGAGAGCTTGTTACAATGCATAGTTCAACTAAAGAAATGATAAAATAATGTATAAAAGGAAATTACTAAGATTATTAGTTAATAAAATTGATCTGAATATGAAGTATCTTTTGTTTATGCTTTATATTTATTTATTTAAATCTTATAATTTCAATTAGTTTTGTTGTCTGTTGACAATAATAAGAAAAAATTTTGTTATACTCGAAGTATGTTAATTTCGTTGACTGAAAAGTGTCTCTGCTTTTTTTAGAAAACAAATTATGTATAGATCAAATATTTGATTTTGTAAAAGAAATCTCAATAATAATAAATCAATTAATTAATCAACCATATATTTCTTTTCTCATTAGACTTTCAATGAAAAAATTTTGATAAAGATGTGTTAACGTTCTATGCCTGAAAAAGAATTTTCGTACGAACCATATGTTAAGAAGTATAAGTGAATCTTTGAAAAGTAGAAGAAAAATTTGATCTAAATGATATTTAAAGAAAAATGCAAATGTCCCCCTATGAAATGATATCCTTCTCATTACTTTTATGAGAAGTTTCTATCAATAAAAAGGCTTATAATAAAAGACTTATTGACATATTTATATTCGATATATATGATAGAATTCAGATTGATGTTGATGCTTAAAGAATATTTGTGTAAAGTTTTTTGTTTAAAATATCAAGTAACTTCTCCCGATTGTAACGTATTAAACAATGAGTCTTTTGATAAGATTCATAAACAATTTTCTTTATGTTCTAATATTTATTCAAATTTAATTTATGTTTCTTTTTTCAAATGACCTCAGTTCAATTCAAATAGTCATTAGTCCAGAAATCTTACTCATATGAACTGCTGATCGCAAGATTCAATTAGTATGATTAGGTACACCAGATCAGGCATCATATGATCATGGTTGCATAAGAGAAAAATAATTTTTGAATTTTAATATCAAGACAGACGAACTCTTTGCCAGTATTTTCATATGAAGAAATCCAATATGATTTTTTTTGTATTAACCTCTTTGTATATCTGTTGTGTCTGTTATTTATTTGATTAAATCAGTAAATTGAATGAAGGCATTAATAATTGTTTTCTTATTCAAACGATTAATGTGGAAAATCAGCTATTGTAATCAATTTAAATAAAATAGTCTGGTTGCTTTGCCTTTTATTTTGAAGAAAGTTCGTTTCCAGGAAAAAGTGCATTTTGATCAGAGACTTCTCTTTAGGTTCTCTAATAGTGTAGAGCTAAGTTCAAATTTGGGTGTGGGTGTAGATAAAGAGAAGACCCCTACCCACATTCACACACCCACACCCTTCAAAAAAATTTCTTCAAAAGAAAATTTTTATCAAGATCAAATAACAGGAAAATTAGAAGCTGTTGGAGATACAGTAGAACCATTTCATTTTATTTTACATCCAAAAGATGAACAATATTTAACTCGTGAAGATCAAGATAAAGGAAAAGAATTATATTCACTTTTAGTTCAATTTGAAATTCTTCAAGGAGATACAATAAGAAAAATATTTCGAAATAATTCACAAGAACGAGATAAAATAGAAAAGATAATTCGAAATGATCTTGATCCTTCGATTGCCGATCCATTAATTAGTTTATTAAATAGTAAATCTTACTTTGAACAAAAAAGATTTCGAAGATATTGTTTGTTATAGTGAAGAATTATGGCAAATTTTAAATATAAATAGAATAGAAAAAGAATTACCACGGATATATGAAAATGTTTGGAAAGATTTAGAAGATAAAATAGATCCACAACAAGTTAATATTTCTCTATGTGAACAATCAATAGAAAGAAAAATATACGAAAATTAAATTTAATGGTAATGGTCATGAAACAAAAGATCATAAAACATATTTAATAGAATTAAAAGATAATATTAGTCAACAAAATCAATATTTTTATCAACACAGATTTACCATTTACTACTAAAGAAGAAGAAGGAAATAATATTCGAATTTATCAAAAAGAAAAAAATATTTTAAAGTCTGGTGGACTTGCTAAATATAAATATGGAGATATTAAAAGAAATATTGAAAGAATTTTAAATAAAATTTTAAAAAATACTCAATTTGAAAATGATAAAGAATTAATTTTGTCGAAAATTTTGTCTTTACAAGGAGATATTCGTTCATTTAAAAAAGGTTTAAAAGCTAATTTAAAAGATTTTATAGATCTTCAAGATCAAGAAAATGTTCCAAGTGAATTAAGATTTTTTTGAAGGTTTTAATCTTAGTAAATTTTTGATTATTGAAGAAGATAAATCTTGGTGGGATTGAAATGGTTTTGCCGGAGCTGTTTTAGTAGCCTTTGGTTTGACTCAAATAGGCAATGCTTTAATTAGTGAAGGTGTTTCTAATATGGCAGAATTATCAGGTACTTTTAGTTGGAAAGAATGGGCAATACAAAAAGCAATTAGCTTCGGTCTCTCTATGTTGACTGCTGGAATTGGAAAGTTTTTGACGGATAAAATTATGGAACAGATTCAAGAAAATGTTTATACAAAAGATTGTTAGTAAAATAGAAGAAAATTTATTAAAAGGAATAATCGATTTAATAAATAATAAAGTAGAAACTCTTTATCTTCAAAGTAAAAATGAAGAAGAGTTCGAAAAATCTTTTGAAAAATTGAAAAAACATATTAGAAAAAACATTAGGAAAATATATTTTATTACCTCAACAATTTGATAATATTCGAACACGAGTTGTATCTTCTTTAAGAAATAGTTATCATCTATTTGCTGATGGTCTAAAGAAATCAAATTCAAAATACGTTAAAATAGCTGCTACTACTCTTAAAGCAATAGATATCATTAATAAGTTGTGGACTATAGTTCAATCTGTCTTACAGTTCGAATATGTCTTTAGTACTTTAAAAGATATTATTGAAGGTACTACCAAAGAAAATCAGAATATTTATAGAAAAAACATTAATAAGAACCTTGTCGAAACAAGAGCAGAACAGTTGAATAGAATCATTAGAGAATATATATATCAACTAAATTAACAAAATAATTAGATAAAGTAGTCACAATGTAATGGAAAAATCCAGCTGATATATTGAAACAATCGAATCAAAATAGACAAAATCATGCAGAAAGTCAAATTGCTAATAAATCAAGATTCAAAGAAAGAATAACAAGATCAAGCGAAAAGAGAAGATCTACAAAATAATATTAGAAATCCAAAACAAATTACTGCAAGTTATTTGAGATAAGCAAACGATAAAGATAGAGCTTTAGGTCTAACTGATATCAAAATGTTAGCAGATCGTAAAAGAAGAAAAATAACTGTTTACAATTCAGATACTGACGAAAAAGAAATAATAAATCCTTCAGAAGTAAGAAAAATACTTGCTCTTTTTAAACAATCTGCCAAAATCTATTATGAAGCAGGTGAAAATGAAGATATTAGACATTATTTTACTGGTAGAGGAACAGAAACATATATACAGATCAATGAACGGAAAGATTGTTTGCTAATAGCTTATCATGAATCATTAGGTAGAAAAGTAAACCAAAGAAAAACCTTTACATCTTCAATCCTATAACTGTAATACAGGATGGATCACAGAATGGATCGGTACCATTGGTAAATATTAAAGAAAAAAAACAACTTTCAGATGTTATAAGCAATAAAGATCTAGAAAAAGAAATAGAATATAAATTAATACCTGAAGCTATGAAAAAATTAAGGAATGAAAATGATAAACTAGTGGTAATTATGTCTCAGCCATTTAAGGCGGGTACAATAAAGCAAACAGATAATGTACGCTTAGATGATCAGAATTTTACTGGAAATAGTGACTATATTAATTTTCAAGTGCAAATAGATGGACAGAGATATAAACATCAACGTAGGGGTAATGAATCTACAACTGTCGCACATGTTTTAGTGACAAGACCACTAAAAGATTCTGATGCTGTTTATCATTGTAGCTCAAGAAAAATTGCTAAGGTCCTTCTTGATAGTTTAAATAATGACAAAACAGTAAAATTACTTGCAGAAAATCTTTAATAGGCATTTCAAATTAATCACCTTTAAGTTTTGGTTAAAATTTATATGTGAACAGTATCAAAATCTTTTCCATCTATACAATGCTCTCATTATTGTTTAAATAAATCTCATTATTAGTAGCATATTCCCATTCTCCTTATGTATTTTCAGCAATCAATGTGTTGCCTTCTTCAAATTTTGTTGATCGAATGAAATGTACTAGAATATATACACATTCACCTTCCTGTTTTTATACAATTTGACAGTAGATCAGTACAACAGTAATAACTTGCAGGAGTGACTTTTCTCTTGTTATTTTCTTTGAATGATGACATGATCTCGGAAATACTAGCCAGAAAAGTCTATACATCCTCAATCATCAAAGACTGGGGGTGCTTAGTTTGACTGAAAGCTCCAGTTCTTTTTCTATCACCTCGCTTCCATAATATATCAGAAAAAAATGTTTTTTTTACCACTTACAGTGTTTGCATAATGCTAATGAACGCTATCTCATGTGAAATCAAAATCTTCAAAAAAATCTGTTTGTAAGTAGAAAAATATTTTTTCAAGACTTTGATTTTTTTCATTTTACATAAGATAGAGACTCCTTAGACTTGCCTGTTCATTAGAATTAGGTGAACACTATAAATGGTAAAAAAAAATCATATTATGGAAGCAAGACGATAGAAAAAGAATTGGGGCTTCCGGTCAGACTCAGCACCTCCGTATAATTCCAACTTTGCCTATAGATTTTTATGTATTCTGTTACAATCAAAATAATTGATGAAGACTTGACATAAAAATATTTTATTACACTTCTAAGTATTATATCATTTCTAAAAAGTTTTGTTTGTCACAATTTTCTGCAAAAACATTCATATTTTTGTGTGTACAAAGTTTCATCAAACTAATAAAGAAATGTAAGTTTAAAACTAAAAAATTTTACTAATATCCATTCTCTGTTTAAAAACGCCTAATAATTGAGCTATCTCAATTACTTTCACTTATGTATTGCGTTTTTTTGTACAACAAGTTGTCTGTTATGTTTTATTATTCATCTTTCATTATTGTACTGTTTCCTATTCTATAATAATTTTCAGTATATTGTGCCAACATATTTATATTATATATTAATATGTTGAAATTGAGTGTTCCTTCTCTTTTCTGTATTACCCACACTTTTGATCTTGTGGATGATTTCTAGCAAATGACGGCTAGTCTCTCTCCCATACTGCTGTCTAGTTAATTTGGTACTAATAAGACAAAAGAAAATATGAGCAAAAGAAGATCGAACTGAAGCATTTTAATTGGTCTTGTTAGCATCGTATACTTCATGCCTCACTATAACATTGATGACGTGAACTGATCTGATAACCATTTTGTCTGACGGTACACTCAAAATTAACCGAAATTAATATCCAAAATAATCAGTAATACCTTGATCAGAATATCTTGATTGTGAACATTTGCAGAACATTTCAAGATGAAAATGTGTCCCTACGTTGTCATTAATAGTCAAAGACTAAACTTTATCTTCGATACAACAACAAAAATTTTCCGGATCGAGTATGTGTAACGAGACCTATCAACACGTTGAAATTTTTGTTAAGAAGGCAAGCTTTGATTCGTTCTATCATGACACTGTAGTGGATTTACTCATGAAAGTAAAACAATTGAAATCAAGTGAATATGCGATAACTTACGAAAATTAGCAAATCTTGATACTATCAAAATCAAATTTTTCATAAAACCAGTATCAAGCTAATCCATCTGAAATTCTGGGCGTCAAGAACTAGCGTGATCATCTTATTTCATGACATTTCAGTAAAGGAACTTACATCCTGAAATGCATCCAAATCGATTGCACAGATTTGATGTAATTCTATTACAACAAAATGATTATAGTCAATCACACATTGAGTTCAATATCATCACAGAGAATATAATGTTTGCGAAAAATATAATCATCTATATCGATAATGTCCACTGCTATCAAATAGAAATCATGCTAAAGGTAGTATTCATATATGTTTGTTCTCTTTCTTTCTATCAAGTATTTTCTCTATTATTTTCTGTTGGAGTCTTCTTATACCGATTTTTCTTGCTTTGATATCCTAACTTATATATTTTCCAAATGTATTGTGTTATCTTTTGATATCTTCCATTTTTTTGCTTAATATTTGATGTAATATCTGGTGTGGGTGTAGGTGTGAGTATGGGTTTGCCTGTCATTATAAACAAAAGAGATATCCACAACAACACCCACACCCAAGTTTCTAAAGATTTTTAAAAATTTCGTAGCTAATAGTAAACTCTTTCAGTTCTGTTTTCTGACTCAGAAAACAAAGTCGACACTTTTTCTCTTTCTACTTAGTAAAAAGGGTTATATGAGTCATATAAAATGAAGAAATGACTACCGTGGATAGTTTATAACATAAATATTTAAAGATTCATTTTTTTCAACAAGTAAGTACACGAATATCAAGAAGATTCGAACAAGTTCTTGCTATTTATTTTTGCGCCTTTGATTCAAAGAGGAAAGACTCGTAAGACAAAGCAAGTCGTTCCTTGGAAGACATTCATTTTAATTTACAATATGGCGAAATGTGTCAATTATAGTAGGAAGTTCGATGTGGAGCGTGAGCGCGAATGTATATATGCTCTCTAACGATTTGATCTAGCTACGAATAATATTTAGAAATGAGAGTTACATTTCAATTGACATCTAAACTCAAAGTCTGGTCCATACGGTCTACTTCAACATGACTGACAAAGGCAGCTAATGTCATAGCTGTAAACAAAACCCCTACTTTTTATATCCCTGAGATGCACTATACTATTTAATGATTTTTTTCTTTCCAGAGCCTGCACAATAATCATCTCATTTTAACATGATACTCACCTTTCGACTCAATATTCTAGATGACTTCGATACCGCTGCCGAGAAACAGCATTGATTGAAACATTTTGCCATTTCCAGATGGGTAGTCTGATGACAATCTTTAATTTGAAGTTTTCCTACGCACAGAAGATTTTTTTATGAGTTGAGTACTCTTGATTATAAAACTCTGAGTCCATTTTACTATTTATTTTAAGTCTGGGAAAATATTCAGATCAGAAAAGATTGTCTAGAAGTCAGATCTCATCCAATCCATAGATGGAACTTAGCAAGTTGATGATTATCGAATACTTTCTGACTTTATTAAATTTATGAGCAACTATAAATTTTGCTGTTGAGTAGAACAGCTCGAATCATCGCAATTGCCAAGAACGGGAACGAGGAGGCAATATACATTGCTTGCTTTCAAAAACTGATATTTATAACTTTCAAAATTGTTTCACTTATTAATTATTACTTGTATTGAAAATTCTAACAACATTTTTTTCATTTTATTGTATGAACTGTTCAAAATTCATACAGATATATACTAGTTTAACCTGACAGTTCTGCAGTGGAAAAGTATGTGTGAGTTTCTTTTCACATAAGACAAAAATTTAGAAACAATCGATGCATCGTTCGACTCTGTGAATCATATACAGATGCAAGAATTCCGATATTGTTAAAACTTGCAATTCAACTTTGAAACTGCCAATCAAAAGGATAGTAAAATACTGCAAGCTTCACATAGAAACAGCAAAAACGTTGAAGGAAATTTTTCAATATTTGTAGCAAAGAAGTTTTTTCGTTTGAACTTTTCATTATATGATAATATAGAAAAGCTATTTTTCCATTAAAATGTTCTTAATCAGCTTTATTTTGAAAAATATGATTTTTATATAGGAAAATAGGTCGAAATGTTGATTTGGACTTTAATACCAACATCACCTTAAAATAGTACTACTATTTGTCAATGTTATGTACTAAGAGCACTGCTACGCATTCAACTCTTCTACACACCTATTATCAGCTAGACTGTACTATTGTTGATAAATCCTTTTAAAAGTTCATAGTTGCTTGATTTTTTAATTTTTACACAATTTATACTTTGGCGTCTTCATTCTGTTTTTGTAACGTATAGTGTTATCGAATGCTTATCCTTCACATATATATAGTTCAGTATAAAATGATTCATAGATAATCCGTTTCTTTTGCAATCGTAAATTGACTTTAAAGGTACTGACTGATTTTACATTTTTTCAATGAGAATTTGAACACGTCATACAATAATATGAAAAAATGCTATTGGAATTTTAAACGTCTTCTAACATAAGTGCTGATTCACACACAAGTGAAACAATTTTCGATTTTTCTACAGCTTCAGTTTTCGTAAGCAGCCAACGTACATCGTACTATCGCTTCCAATTACTGAAATGGCACAGAACGAAAATGCTATCACTCTTAAATAAGTGAGTGTGAATGTATGGATGCGTTTGTAAATCTGATTCACAGAATTCCTCATAATCAGAGCGGTATTCACATGCTCTTTAGGCAATAAAATGCAATGCTGAAGAAAATCTGACGACTACAGTTTACTAGCTTGAACTATGCTTTTTTCAGAATGGTTAGAAGATGTAATTCAATCTTCAGACTTCAGATTAATTAAATACATCTTGGATGTTTTTCTTAGACATTCATGTGGAAGCCTTTATATATTTGATATGCATCTAACTCGAGTAGGTTCATCGAACACTGAAATGCGTAGTTGCACCACGACTGGAAAAGTCAGCATACTAGGTAACTTGAGTAATAGTAAACTGTTTTTATTATCCGCAGAATCGATACTGTGAGTTAGCTGTACCAATTATAACAGCTCTTTCTAAAGAAGTTGTCATAGATTTTCGAGTTTTTTGGAAATTACTGAGCATCGACCACGTTTTTTGTCACTGGTATGTGAGTCAGAAACCGTTTACCAAGATCTTCAACGGTGAAAATCTGAAACTCCATAACTCAGATAA